CTTTCAAAACCACAAAATGACAAAACCCTTTGACCATGTTCAAACCCAACCCCATGGTATATCTCACTCCAAACGTCATTTTGGAATAAAATCCTCTTTAGTAACTGTATTTTTCACTCAACCCTAATTCTCTCTCTAAAACCAACTGCCCGCTACAATACCGTCGACGAGATTTGGTGATTTTGGACCGGCGACAGGCGGCTTACATAGCGCTGGTGCCGGTTCCATGTGTCTTCTCGTTGTCAATAGTTTTAGTCTTCTTCTTTGCTCGGTTTCCCGTCGATAGTTCTCCAAAAATTTGGGCATTGGTCTTCATTTCAAGAGGTTGTGGCTCGGTGATGGTTGCGGGTTCTAATCCGTTTAGGGCTCTGTCGGTGGTTGTTGTAGATTTGGTTCCTTATCGGCGTAGGGTGTAGTCCGGCTTCTCGGGATTCTCTTTCGTCCTCCGGATATGGGGTTTCCTCAACATTCGTGTCCCTTCTCGTCGAGTTTGAAGTCGTTGCGGTTCTCGGCTTGGTAGACACCGGGACTCGCTTTTTATCCCTTTAATTGGAATGTGGTTGATGTGTCCCGTATAGGTCTCTACCGTGGTTGGGTGAGTGTTGGTATTGACTTTTCTCTTCCTCTTGGGTTATTGAACTTTGCTTGGTTTTTGTTTTAGTCTATCGGCTTGGCTTATTGTTTGGAATTAGGATTAGTCTGGATCTGTTGGTACTATCTCGTTCTCCACTCTGGATGGTTTAGCGTGTTTGATTTCTTCGTGTCCTGATCTTTTGATAGGAGTGGTCTTGGGGCTGATTTGAAGTGTGACTCTTGCCTTCTGAAGATGTTGGTTTTGAGGCTCTCTTACCTCGCTTCCTGTTTAGTCTCCTATCTATCCGTTTTTCCAATTGGTTCTTCTATCGGCGATGCGTATCTGCCTTAGTGCATTGGGTTGTGTATCAATAGAAGAATCATAGGTTGGATTGGGTTCTAATCGGGTTATTGTTGATCTCTTCTTCATGGTTTGTCTTGGTCCTTCTCACACTTTGTTGGCTTAGCTTTGGTCTCGGGCTTTGGCATCTCGAGTGCGTTTGCAGCTCCCTCGTCTCCTTTATCCTTGCGTGAATGATCCACTTGAAGCAAGGGTTCCTGGATTCGGTGATTATGTGGATGGTTATCGTTTGGCTTATTTGTGGTAGAGTTTATAGGTTTAGTTTAATAGATTTGGTTCTTCCTTGTTTGTCTAGTTTCCCATTAGTGTTTTGGTTTTTAGAGTTCCTCTTTGTTCTTGTAGTACCGTATTCCACAGCCGCTCCCCGTTAACTTTCGGGCTACGCTCCCCGGTAATATTTTGGGTTATGCTTTCCGGTAAACTTTCGGGTTTTGATTTCGATGTATCCGTTTGTAATGTTTCCTTGTTTTATATAAAATTATTCAATGGAAAAAAAAACTGTATTTTTCACTCGGAAATAAAGTAGTGAATTGTATTACTAAAGTAATAAAGCTTCGATACAAGAAAGTGATAAGCTTTACTGCTTCAGTTTGGAGTATGGGCACATCTCCAACAAATCACAAACTCAGAACCACTAACCCTTTAATCATCTTCAAACCCTATCTGATGCTATATCTCACTCCAAACGTCATTTTGGAGTAAAATCTTCTTCAATAACACTATTTTTCATTCTAAAATAGAATAATGAACTGTATGACTTCATATTTACACTTCAACAAAGTTAATCTTTTTTTTTATTTTACAGTTAAAAGATTCTAAATACATTTCTCTATCTATGATTTGTAGCTTGGATCTTTCATCTCTTTGAATGATTTGGTGAAATTTTTCTTAGTCTAATTTCTATAGATCATTTCTTATTTAATCTTGCTTTTGTATTTTCTTTCAAGATGTGTGAGTTCCCTTTATAGATTATGTGTATCAGTGTATTGGTAGAATAGGGTGATTAAAATTTGGGTTATCATGTTAACGGTTTAATCTATTTGTTTTCTTTCAATTGAGATGTGTTTAGTGCTAGTTTTGAACTTGATAATCAAAATATAGATAATGGTTTTTATACATTTAGAAAGTGTTTCTGAAAATGTCTAAATAATAAATATAGGTATCAAGTTAATTAAAAAATTAAAAATACAACAATGAATAAAATTAAAAATACATAAGAGTATAAAACTACAATGATATAAACAAAATGTGGTTTTGAAAGTTAATAATCTCTTTCTTGTATTGAAGCTTTATTACTTTAGTAATGAATACATTTGTTTTTCATTTGATTACTTCTGTGATAAATTAAATAATCTATTACATAACTGAGACCTTTTGCAGAGTAAATACATTACATAGAGAGACATCAAAGAATTAGAGATCAATATCATTTTGTCTTTCGAAGTTAAAGAATGTTTCAAGCCTTCTTATTCTTTGCCATCGCCATCGCATCAGCGATCTCAGATGCTGTGTTGGAGCGGAGGACAAGATCACGGAGTGAGAGCTTGAGATCAACAGTGAGTCTCTGGAACACCTGAGATAAGAGTAAGACATCTGACAAGGCTCTATGAGCATGACCATCCCTTGAAAGATCGTAGTATTCCCCTAGAGCTTGTAATGTCGATTTTGGCTTAACGGTTGACTCTGCGAAAGAGCAGAAGAAGAAGAACCCATTTCTGGTTTATGAGTTTCTGAACTTTACAGACCAATCCAATCAATATACCAGAACAAGAAAACATGTTCTGTTTTGCCAACAAAATCGCTAGATAAGATAGCTACATAAATACTAACAAGCAGAGACAGGTTTGCAGTTTAATTGCTTATTGGCCGAAACGAGAAGCAAAATTGTTCTGACAAAGACGTTCTTCAGTAATGTCTAAGCTTTGCAGGGCAAGGAAAGGGAACAGAAATAGAACCAGAGGAATTTTACCTACAGACTTCATGCTCTCTCTGGCTAGTGGAAGTGAGTCTAGTAACAGCCAATTATGAGGAATCTCGTAAGAGCAACGGTTAAATTCGTTGATCAAGAACCGGAAATCAAAAGTTTTTCCATTGTGTGCAACAAACATCACATAACCTCCCGGTTTTTGCCGGCTCTTAACAAACCGCAGAAATATCGGTATCAGCTCTTCCATCCTACAAACAGACAAAGCTTCATTAGTTTGATCCAATGGAAGCCATGCACGCAACAAACAATCCGTATATAAATCACACAAAAGTTCATAGAAGACAGAATATATATATACCTTGGAACCTCAGGTCGACGAACCATGTCATTACTGATTCCGTGGATGCGGAAACTGGTATTTGGTATAATTAAATCCGGGTTGATGAGAGTCTGAAATGTGCTGTTCTCACCCCCAGCAAGATCCTGAACTGCAATTTCGATAATCCGCTCTTTTACCCTGTCCAAGCCGGTTGTCTCAAGATCAAAAACTATCACAGTGAGGAGTTTAGACAAATCTTTGTCTTCAGCAAGCCGTTGCTGAACATTTCCATATGGCTGTATCTTTGTCCTGCTCTCTGCATCTATGATTCTACTAATGGGAACTACTCCTCCCAACACACTACTCTTGGTGTTACTGTTTATACCGCCTTGCGTAGTTGTACTTATGTTTCGTCTGACCCATCTACTTTTACCATCAGCTCTAACATCGAGCAGCTTTGGTCTAGAGTTGTTGTTGAGCCAGCCATTGACACGTTCACAGCAAGAACGTCCCAATAATTGGATCCTAAATCTAGAGACTTGCGAGATTGAGATAGACATGAGATCTCTCTATCTCTCCCTCAGATAAACTCAAGAATCAAAGTGACAATGTCACTGTTCTCGAAGAAGATCACCTGCAAAAATCAAGGCTTCGATCTGCAGATCCAGAGAATGATAATCAGAAGTAAGCAATATATACACAATTTGGATACAACAGTTTCATTACACATATACAGATTTATGTGAATGCCTATAGAGATCCTAAAGAGGACCAATTTCACAATCACAATCACAAAAGTTAATAACTTTCATCGAAATTTTGAGGTTCTTTCTAGAGATAAGACATATAACGATAGAAGTGAAAACAAGCCAACGACAATTGAAACACAATTTACTCTCAGCATAGAGAAGAAGAAAGCAAGCGGAGAAAACGAAACAAGTGAAATCCAAAGCACGATTTTTTACAAAAATCCAATCTGAAAAATCAATAGACATGTGCTTCGGAGATGCAATTAAGGATCGGCGAAACTCTGGACGAAGAAAAGAGTAATAATAATTCAAAATCAATAGAAACGGGTTCTCCGATTATGAAATCGAAAACACAACTAAGCAATTGCAGAAATGACAAAAGGAATCGAACAAAATCTGAGATTTTTTTCATCGACGATGACGGAAATGAAGGAAATTTCTCTGAATTTTCAGTATCTGAACTGACCCAGAACGAGAAATGAATCGAAAGCGAAAGATACTTGCCTTGTGTAATCCAAAACTCAAGAACAAAACTGCATTTGCACGAAAGTAGACATTTTTGATAATCTTAAGATGATATATAGAGAGAGACAGAGAGCGAAAGTAAGCCGTTCGTGTGAGAGGGAGACCCGTTTAATTCGGATCTGTGACCCGATTCGACAAATACGGATCGTAGATCCGAGTTTGCCTTTGTAGGGAAGAAGGTCATACAATTTGTGTTACTTTTGTCCACTTTTGGCAAATTTCAACCCACTTCGGTTGGTAGATTAAATTGTGAAAAGTATACTACTACTACATTATTCAAACTATTAGTATATTTTTACATTAGTAAGATCTGACTGAAAAACATCTATGAGTCATATGTGCTTGCTAAAACATTTAATTGACAATCCAATTATTCCCCAATTTTCCCAAATAACAATGTTAGGCTAGCAAAGCAAGGAATATTCCCTTTCTCTTTTATAGGAAAAACATCCCAACAAGTCACTTTGCTTTCAACTTGCGTATATGACTGTTTTTCAGTTAACTTGTTTTTGATTCTAATGTTTGTTTATACAAATTTCTGACGCCTTAAATACACAATGGAGTATTAAACGTTTATTTTGTTTCCTTTGTTTTTGTTTGTTATGGTCAAAGAGTTTCAAAAACAAACAAATATATTCAAAAGACACAATAATGTCTAGGATGTCAATGGGTCTTAGTCGTATGAGAACCGTTTGATAAAATATCTGATTACAAATGGGCATCAATGGTCAGCGATTTTGATCAAAACTGAATTCCACAATAAAAAAATTTATATGTGAATTCAGAATAAACCTTAATACTAAAAATTATTTATAAATCTGATATGAATTGAAAAATGTATGGCGAAATTATACTTATACTGATATAGAATCAAATATACAAAAATATCTCGAATGAAATGTGTGTAGAATATAGACTATAGTATTAAGTCTCATGTACTGGGAAAAATTGGCGAATTCTGCTCGGATTCCTTGTATTCATAGTTCGATCTAGCTCCGTCGTTCAATTCCGCATATTTCGGGCACGTTTGGGATTGATCATCCAAAAATATCATTAAAAATCTTTTTGACTTTTTCTCAGCTCTTGTTGACTCTATGCGGTTTGAATTAAACGGGATGGCCCACCACTTTTTAGGGCAT